CCCTAGCCGTGCCACCGACCGGCCGGGGACGTCCTGCAAAACAGGTCCAGCTTCCGCCAACCGATGCGAACTTTAGACCCCTGTGAAAGCGAGGTCAGCAGAAGCCACCTTCCCTGGGCCTGGAGGGAGGGGAGACGCTGAGGGCCCCTGCGGCGAAGACCCCGCCCCCAGTTTAAGGCTAGAGAGGCAGCGAGGAGCAGGAGTTGATCTCGCTTCTGTGCCCCAACATGACGCAGGCGCCCCGCGGACACCCGGCGCCTGGCGCTCTGTGAAGGGGGCCGTGCCGGGGCAGGGGGGGCCCAGCTCAGCTGAGGAGCCATGGCTGAGGACGGGGGCTGCATGCGGACACCCTGGGAGGAGCCCCGGGCCCGGGCAGAGACCCCGACAGCACAGGCGCCAGCGCCCGCAGCCCCTCCCGTGGCCGCGCAGAGCCTCGCACCAGGCTCCCTGATGCTCGCGGGCGCCTGCTCAGGCCCACCCCGCAGGGGCTGGCGGGCCCGGACCCCCGCTGCCCCCCGAGGCCACGGCGGCTGTCTGGCAGCACCAGCCCCTCTGCCCGCGGGGTGCTGGCGCCCTGTGGACGGGCAGTGCCTCTGGGATGCAGGCGGGCTGGTGCCCGGTGCTGCGCCCTTTGCTTTTGTTCTGTTCCCACTGCTTTTTCACTTACTTCGCTGCAGCATGTTCCCCTCTGTCCGCTCACGGCCTTTGGAAGGATCAAGGTATGGGATCCTCCCCGGCCTCTCTCCGCGCGCCGTGCGGGGCGCTTCTGAGAGCAGCGCGCAGCGACCGTGCTCCTCCCCCCGGGCCTCTGGACCCGCAGGCGAGCCTCACCCCACCGCGCCGCTGAAGGCGCGCAGGCCTGAGCCTGCCCCTGCCGCAGATGGCGCCCCTGCCCACCGGGGACTCGCCGTCCGCGGCTCCTGCGCTGGGCCGCTCCGTCCCCCGTGCCCCCGCCTCACTCTGCTTTCCCCAGTCTCCAGCGCCGCGGGGACTCCCGGACACTCTGCTCCTCCACCGGCGCCGGGATAGCCCGAGGCGGCCTCCTCCGGGCCCTGCCCCTCCCCCAGCCACCCGGCCCTCGGGCGCCCGGTGACCGCAGCCAGCCCCAGCGGGTCCTCGCCGGCCACGCCGGGGGCCTTCCTCTGGGGCCAGGCCTGGCGGGGGGTCGGGCTGAGGCGCCTCCTCTGCTGGGTTCTTCCTGAACGCTGCCTTGTCACGGGTGGGATTCTAGAATTTTCTGAGAATGTTGACAACAGCTCCCTTACCCATGGGCAGTTTCGCTCCCGTGATGGAAGACCCGCCACCCCGAGGCCAAGGCCTTCACCTTCCAGTCCCCGAAGGTCCCGCTGCTCCCGGGCCAGGCCGCAGGCGCCCCTGCCGGGCGGCGGCTGCCCACCAGGGCTGCCCACCTGGTGGCTCCGGAGGCGGCGGCCCCGGCAGAGCGAGGACCTCGGCGGGGCCCAGCGGGCGGCCCACCGTGGCCGGGGCAGCGGCCCGGCTCCCTCTGGCTGCCCCTGGGCCCCGACTCCGGGCGCCCGCCCATGCGCGGGGCCTCGCCGCGTCCCCGGCCTCAGAGCTGCGTCCCCGCCGTTGGGCGTCGGCGGGGTCAGGCCCTCCCGCCCCTCGCATCCCTCACGCCTCTCGCGCCCCTCACGCCTCTCGCGCCCTCGCGTCTCTCGCGCCCCTCGCGCCCCTCGCATCCCTCACGCCTCTCGCGCCCCTCACGCCCTCGCGCCCCTCACACCCTCGCGCCCCTCACGCCTCTCGCGCCCTCGCGCCCCTCGCGCCCCTCACGCCTCTCGCGCCCCTCGCCGCCCTCACGCCCCTCACGCCTCTCGCGCCCTCGCGCCCCTCGCGCCCCTCACGCCTCTCGCGCCCCTCGCGCCCTCGCGCCCCTCACGCCTCTCGCGCCCCTCGCCGCCCTCACGCCCCTCACGCCTCTCGCCGCCCTCACGCCTCTCGCGCCCCTCGCCGCCCTCACGCCCCTCGCGCCCTCGCGCCCCTCGCGCCCCTCACGCCTCTCGCGCCCCTCACGCCCTCGCGCCCCTCACGCCTCTCGCCGCCCTCACGCCCCTCACGCCTCTCGTGCCCCTCGCGCCCTCGCGCCCCTCACGCCTCTCGCGCCCCTCGCCGCCCTCACGCCCCTCACGCCTCTCGCGCCCCTCACGCCCTCGCGCCCCTCACGCCTCTCGCGCCCCTCTCCGCCCTCACGCCCCTCACGCCTCTCGCGCCCCTCACGCCTCTCGCGCCCCTCTCCGCCCTCACGCCCCTCACGCCTCTCGCGCCCCTCGCGCCCCTCACGCCTCTCGCGCCCCTCACGCCCTCGCGCCCCTCACGCCTCTCGCGCCCTCGCGCCCCTCAAGCCTCTCGCGCCCCTCGCCGCCCTCACGCCCCTCACGCCTCTCGCGCCCTCGCGCCCCTCGCGCCCCTCACGCCTCTCGCGCCCCTCGCCGCCCTCACGCCCCTCATGCCCCTCGCGCCCCTCGCGCCCCTCACGCCTCTCGCCGCCCTCACGCCTCTCGCGCCCCTCGCCGCCCTCACGCCCCTCACGCCTCTCGCGCCCTCGCGCCCCTCGCGCCCCTCACGCCTCTCGCGCCCCTCACGCCCTCGCGCCCCTCACGCCTCTCGCCGCCCTCACGCCCCTCACGCCTCTCGTGCCCCTCGCGCCCTCGCGCCCCTCACGCCTCTCGCGCCCCTCGCCGCCCTCGCGCCCCTCACGCCCTCGCGCCCCTCACGCCTCTCGCGCCCCTCTCCGCCCTCACGCCCCTCACGCCTCTCGCGCCCCTCACGCCTCTCGCGCCCCTCTCCGCCCTCACGCCCCTCACGCCTCTCGCGCCCCTCGCGCCCCTCACGCCTCTCGCGCCCCTCACGCCCTCGCGCCCCTCACGCCTCTCGCGCCCTCGCGCCCCTCAAGCCTCTCGCGCCCCTCGCCGCCCTCACGCCCCTCACGCCTCTCGCGCCCTCGCGCCCCTCGCGCCCCTCGCGCCCCTCACGCCTCTCGCGCCCCTCACGCCTCTCGCGCCCTCGCGTCTCTCGCGCCCCTCGCGCCCCTCGCATCCCTCACGCCTCTCGCGCCCCTCACGCCCTCGCGCCCCTCACACCCTCGCGCCCTCACGCCTCTCGCGCCCTCGCGCCCCTCGCGCCCCTCACGCCTCTCGCGCCCCTCGCCGCCCTCACGCCCCTCACGCCTCTCGCGCCCTCGCGCCCCTCGCGCCCCTCACGCCTCTCGCGCCCCTCGCCGCCCTCACGCCCCTCAAGCCTCTCGCGCCCTCGCGCCCCTCGCGCCTCTCGCGCCCCTCGCCGCCCTCACGCCCCTCACGCCTCTCGCGCCCTCGCGCCCCTCGCGCCCCTCACGCCTCTCGCCGCCCTCACGCCTCTCGTGCCCCTCGCGCCCTCGCGCCCCTCACGCCTCTCGCGCCCCTCGCCGCCCTCACGCCCCTCACGCCTCTCGCGCCCTCGCGCCCTCGCACCCCTCACGCCCCTCGCGCCCCTCACGCCTCTCGCGCCCCTCACGCCTCTTGCGCCCTCGCGCCCCTCACGCCTCTCGCGCCCCTCACGCCTCTTGCGCCCCTCGCGCCGCTGCTCAGGCTGCCCGGGCCCCCGCCCGCCGCGCGGCCCCCCGCCCGCCCCTCTTCCCCCGGGCCGCGGGCGCACAGGGGCCCCGAAGGCCCGCCCGTCCGCCCACGCTGGTCCGGGGCGGGGCCCGCGGGCGCCCACGCTGGCTCTCCCGCCCGCCGGTGCCCGGCCGCCTTCCCCGCCGGGAGGGCGCCCCGGCCCCGGCCCCTTCCGGGTGCGCCCCGCACGCCCCGCCCGCCCCGCCCCGCCCCGCCCCGCCCCGCCCCGCCCCGCCCGGCCGCCCGGCCGCCCGCCCCGCCCCCGGCGTCATGGCGGCGGCGGGCGGGGCGCGCCTCACGCAGGCGCCGGGCGGAGCGCTCGCCGCATTGTTTGCTTCGCTGGGACGAGCCGCGCGCGAGCCGGCCGGGCCCCCGCACCCGCGCCCCCCGCCGGCCCGCGCCCGCGCCGCCCGCGCCGCCGCCCGCCCCCCGGGCCCGGGCCGTTGGCGGAGCCGCCCGGGCGCCCTCCGCGCCGCCTCGGCCGCCGCCCCCGCCCGCCGCCCGGCCCGGCCGCGGCCCCGGAGGTGAGTGGGGGGGTCGGGGCCGGCGCCTCGCGGCCTCGCTCCGCGGCGCCGGCGCCATGTTGGCGGCGCATTGTCCGCGGCGGGGCGGGCCGGGCCGGGGGCGGCCGGGCCGGGCCGGGGGCCGGGGGCCGGGGGCCGGGGGCCGGGGGCCGGGCCGGGCCGGGCCGGGCCGGGCCGGGGCGGGCGGGCGGCGGGCGGGCGGGGCGGCGCGGAGACGGAAGCGGGAGGCCGGGGGGCGGGCGGGCGCGCCGACGGGGCGGGCGGCGGGCGGCGCGGAGGCCGGATGGGGCGGCCGGGCGCGGGGGGGCGGGCGGGCCCGGGCGGCTCTCGGGCGTCCCCCCGGCCGGGCGGGCGGCCTGACCGCGGAGCGGCCGCTGCCCCGGCGCGCCGGTTGCGTAACGCGCCGCCCGCCGCCGCCGCCGCGACGGGCGCTCCCCGCGAGCAGCCGCCGCGCGCCCCCCGCGAGGCCGGCCGGCTGGAGCGGCGCCGCGCGGACACACCCCCGCGCGCCCCCGGCGGCCGGCCCCGTCGCCCCGCAGCCCCAGCCGGCGGGGGGCGCCGCCCGGCCCCGCTGGCTGTCCGGGGGCCTCGACGGGGTCGCCTCTGGGGAAGCCGCTCGTGGGTCCCCTCCCCGGGCTGCTGGCTCCTGGACAGCCCGGGCCGCAGCGGGGCCGGGGAGCAGGGGCGCCCCGAGGCCGCAAGCTCTGCCCCGGGCCTCTGCTCGCGGGGAGGTTGCTGGGCGCGAGCGGCCCGGGGCAGGCGTGGGAGACGCCTTGGGCCGCCCCGTGGGGCCTGCTCTGCAGGAGTCCCTGGCTCTGGCAGCTGCGCCCCAGCAGCAGGTGACGGGGCTGGGCCGGCCAGCGCTGGCCGGGCTGTCCACGGGCCTTCCTGTCAGCGCGTGGCCTGAACACGGGTGACGGTTTCACCAAAAAAAGGAAGCCTGTGACCCAGAGGGCCAGCCTAGGAAGCCCGTTCAGGCTCTGCTGGGTCTTCTTTCTGCACCAAAGGGCGCCTCTGCTCATGGCTCTCCCCGGAGGTCAGCACCGAGGCAGCAGGGCTGGGGCCAGGCTCCCAGGATTGCCGGTGGCCTGCCAGCGCGGGGCCCAGAAGGGGCTGTCGGCCGGCAGAGGCAAACCAGCCTCTTCAGAGTCATCCTTGCTGTCAACGAAACGTGGTTGTTGGGACGTGTGGTCTGAGTCCTCTGGGGTCTTTAGGGTGCCTTGTTAGGGTGAGCCCTGATTTGCGGGGGTTCAGAGTTGGGAGTGTTCACCCGGGGCACTGGGAAGACAGGCCCCGTAATGTCAGGTGGGGTATGTCCAGAGCACAAGCTCTTCTCAGTCTTTAGCCGCTAGCCCCGTCTCCAGGCACCCCAACATGGGGCTCTGTAGTAGTGGGGGTGGTGGGCCTTTCTGACTGGGCACCCCTTGAGCCAGGGTGAGCCCTGGACACACTGCTGGGGTCTGGGGCACTGGAGGAGAGGGGTGTGGTCAGCGCCGTGCTCTCAGCAAGCCCTGAGATGTGGCCCTGAAGGGCAGGTGGGCTGGCCTCAGGGTTTCTGTGGGGGTCAGGGGTGAGGCCCCACGGCAGTGGTCTTGCACCCCTTTGGGGCCTGGCGGGGCTGGTGGCCCTGGGCCGCCACAGGTGTGGCTGTGGTGGCGTGGCCGGGAGCTGCAGGGTTGGGGGCACTGGGCTCCAGGGGCAGCGAGGGGAAACAGAAGAGGAGAGTGGGGAGCAGGCGAGCCCTGTGGCCTCAGCTCTGCCCGCTGGCGGCCTCCTGCCTGCTGGGGAGGTTGCAGCTCCCCGTGGTGGTCGAATGGCGGTGGGGGTTGGAGGGGCCAGTCCTACCTCAGTGCTGGGATTCCCCCGGGGGGCGTGCTCGGGGGCCGGTGGAGGTGGTGGAGGGAGGCCCGCTGGGACTCGCGGAGTGCCGCCTTGGGGTAGCCTTGGGGTAGGTGCGGGCGCCCGGTCCCCTGCACGGAGCTAACGCCGCCTCTGCTCTGGTCAGGTCGCCGTTGCCAAATGAGGAGGAAAGGCCGCTGCCACCGAGGCGCCGCAGCGAGGCACCCTTCCTCCCCGCGCAGCTCCCGCCACTCCCCCACTCGGGAGACCCTGACCTACGCGCAGGCGCAGAGGATGGTGGAGATCGAGATCGAGGGGCGCCTGCACCGGATCAGCATCTTCGACCCGCTGGAGATCATCTTGGAGGACGACCTCACGGCCCAGGAGATGAGCGAGTGCAACAGCAACAAGGAGAACAGCGAGCGGCCCCCCGCCTGCCTGCGGACTAAGCGGCACCGCAGTAGCCGCGCCAGGAAGAAGGGTGAGGCCCCGGCCGGCACCCCCGGCACCCCCGCTGCCACTGCCAGCGCGCTGCCCGAGCCCAAGGTGCGCCTGGTGGAGTACAGCCCCCCGTCGGCCCCGCGCCGGCCCCCCGTGTACTACAAGTTCGTGGAGAAGTCGGCGGAGGAGCTGGACCACGAGGTGGAGTACGACATGGACGAGGAGGACTATGCCTGGCTGGAGCTCGTCAACGAGCGGCGCCGCGGCGACTGCGTCTCGGCCGTGTCGCAGGGCGTCTTCGAGTTCCTCATGGACCGCTTCGAGAAGGAGTCGCACTGCGAGACCCAGAAGCAGGGGGAGCCGCAGTCTCTCATCGACGAGGACGCGGTGTGCTGCGTCTGCATGGACGGCGAGTGCCAGAACAGCAACGCCATCCTCTTCTGCGACCTGTGCAACCTGGCCGTGCACCAGGAGTGCTACGGGGTGCCCTACATCCCCGAGGGCCAGTGGCTGTGCCGCCACTGCCTGCAGGCCCGCGCCCGCCCCGCCGACTGCGTGCTGTGCCCCAACCGCGGCGGTGCCTTCAAGAAGACGGATGACGACCGGTGGGGCCACGTGGTGTGCGCCCTGTGGATCCCCGAGGTGGGCTTCGCCAACACCGTGTTCATCGAGCCCATCGACGGCGTGAGGAACATCCCGCCCGCCCGCTGGAGGCTGACCTGCTACCTCTGCAAGCAGAAGGGCGTGGGCGCCTGCATCCAGTGCCACAAGGCCAACTGCTACACCGCCTTCCACGTGACCTGCGCCCAGCGCGCCGGCCTCTACATGAAGATGGAGCCCGTCAAGGAGCTGGCGGGCGGCAGCGCCACCTTCTCCGTCAGGAAGACCGCCTACTGTGACGCCCACACGCCCCCGGGCTGCACCCGCCGGCCGCTGAACATTTACGGGGACGCGGAGACGCGCAACGGCGTGTGCCGCAAGGAGAGCGCGGTGAAGGCTGTCCGGGCCACGTCCAAGGTCCGCAAGAAGGCCAAGAAGGCCAAGAAGGCGCCGGCCGAGCCCTGCGCGGCGCTGCCGCCCCTGTGTGCGCCCTACATCCCCCCGCAGAGGTAAGCGCCACGGAGCGGGGTCGGCGCCCTCGACAAGCCCCACCCTGTGTGGGAGTGCGGAGGCCGCCGGAGGCGCGGCCTGGACGGACCCCTCGGTGCCGCTCCCTGGGGAGCCCTGGGCTGGCGGGGTCGGCCCCGTGGCGCACCAGCTGTTCCCGCCACCTCTCGCTTGGGGGAGACACTGTTTCTCCCCGTGGCTCCCGCTGAAGTGGAAGCTCGCCGGAGTGTTAGATTTCTTGGGACGTGCGCGGCGTGGCTGAGCCCGTGTGCAGGCCGCCTGCTCCCGCCCGGCTGCTCCGCAGAGCTGTGCCCGGGGCTGGATCCCTGGCCGGCCCGACCCCCCCACCCCCGCACCCCCTCCTGCCCCGGCTGCCGTCTCTGGGTCCCAGTGTGCTCTTCTTCTCCCGTCTGGCGAGGTGAGCGGCTTCGTGGGCCGCCCTAGGCATGCGTGGTGCCATGAGCCTGGGGCGCGTCCCCCCACTCTGAGCTCAGGGGCAGGAGGGGCCTCGCTGCTGTGCAGGGCAGATGCGAGCCTGCAGCTGGACGTCCTGGGGGCAGGTGTGGCTCCCAGTGCGGCTGTGCGACTTGCGGATGCGGTGGGGCGGGAGCGCCGGTCGGGGTGTTGAATGTGCACCCGCGTGTGCGTTTGTCTTGGGGTGTCGGGGCATTCCCGCCCCTGGAGTCGCCATGTACCCCTCTGTCCAGCAGGCGCCCAGCTTCCTTCTGTTCTAGGTGACCAGATCTGGGCACAAGACCGCCCCGGGCTGGGGGCCCTTGCTGGGGGCGCTCGGGGGTGCTGAAGGGTGGCAGGGTGCAGGTTGCAAGCAGAGGGCGCAGGTTGCACCTGCAGACCTTGGGGCAGGCACCCCCGACCCCCCTTTCCCGGGTGGGAGCCCCCTCCGCCGGAGCGTGGTCTCGCACGGCCTCCTCCACCCCCACTGTCGGCAGTTCCCGACGCTCCCGTCGCGGTCAGGGTGGGAGGGGGTGTGCGGGGCAGCCCTTGGGCTGGGGTGAAGGTCCGTTTTCTTCCAGGAAGGGGCTGCTGACTTGGGGTGCAGGAGGCACTGTGGCGTGAAGCTGGGCACCCCTTACCTTTCGTGCGGCAGGGACACTCAGCAGCGGGCCCAGTAGGTGCGGCTGGGGGCCGGGGGGGGGGGCGCGGCCTCCCTTCTTCCTTGCGGGGAACTGCAGGCCCTCGGCGAGCTGCTGCCCCAGGGCCCTGCGGGCGTGTCCGTTGCCGCCGTCCCTCCCTTGCTGGGGAAAGTGGAGGTTTCATCCGGTCAGCGCGTCTGAACCGGGCAGGGGGAGCTCCCGCCGGCCCGGCCCGGCCGTCCTGCGCCGTCAGCGCGCCGCCTTTCCTCGGGCGGCCCTTCTGCCCCTGCTCCCCGCCGCCGCCCTGGCGGCCGCCTCTGGCCGCGCTTTGGGTGCTGCAGCTTCCCTCGGGAGAAGGCCGGTCCCGAGGGGCCAAGGGCGGCCCTGACCTGGGCCCTGGCCGGCGGCCTCGGCCCCCGAGTGCCGTGGCGCGGCAGCAGCGGACAGCGAGGCCGCCTTCCCGCGTGAGCGAGGCCGCGGCGGGCGGAGCGAGTGCGGCTGCTGGCGGGTCTCGCGCCGTGGGCCTGGCTCCTCTCGTGTGTTTGGCTGCGACGCTGCTGCGGCGTGGCGGTCAGCGCGGCCAGGGCGTCTCTCCCCGGCCGGACGGCCCCGGCAAGGTGAGTGCGTGTCTGGGCCGAGCCCGCGGCCGCCCCTCCCGAGCTCAGCGGTGCTGTGGGGGCCCCGCGTCCTGACCCCGGCAGCGTCCGCCTTCCCAGGCTTCCCCTCCGACGAGGGAGGGGCTGGCTCCGGAGCCGTCCTCCTGGCCTGGGCTCTGCCCGCGGGTGCGCGGGGCCCGTGGTGGGGCGCTGTGCGGGGAGAGTCTGGCCGTGCCCCCCGTGCCCGTGGGGTTAAAATCAGAGCTCCGGGTGCTACCATGTCAAGCTCCGGCCGCTGCCAGGTGGAGCTGCCCTTTCGCCTCCCATCATCCCTGGGCCGGGCAGCGTGCGGGTGTGGCGCCCGCGGGCAGCTGGCCACCCTGCCCGATGCGCGTGCCTGCTTAAGACGCGCGCGCGCTGAGGCGGACGCCGGTGTGTGTTGGCCACTCGGTCCTGGAACGTTCCGTCACTCCTGCTGGAGCCCCGGCCCTGACGTCCCCGCCGGCCCCGCTGCCTTGTGCAGGCGTCCGCCGCTTCCTCTCGCACGGGGTGTGGCCTGGGGCCTCGTCCACCTGTTCGTGGGCACTGGGGGTCCCGCTTGTCTCTGGGCGCAGATCCGCGGCCTCCCTCTCCCTGGCCTCGGTCTTCGGGTGCGGGCCGTGGTGGGCTGCTTTGCTCTGCTCCCCAGGCTGCGCGTCCGTCCCTTTTCTTGCCAGCTGTCCTGGGGGCGTCCGGGGCCTCTTCCCCAGCAGTCTCAGCCGGGCCCGTGTCCCCCCGCACTGCCTGGCGCCAGCCTCCCTTTGGTCAGCCCTCACCCAGGGCGGCTCGCTGGCATCTTCGAGGAACCCAGTTTTGGCCTCCTTGAGGCTCTGTTGTGGGCTTTTTCCTTGTCCCCCCGTGGGCGCCGCTCAGGCTGTGGGCACAGTCGCTCTGCAGACAGAGGTTGGGTGGGCCACCGGGTCGCCTCTTCGGCCCTTAGTTCGCGTCCTTCTGACCGCTGGCCCGTTGGGCTCAGCTTGCTGGCATCGCTGCTTTTTGGAAATGGCTTTCCGAGGGAGGCAGGAGCAGGGTCCCTCCCCGCTTCTGATTGAAGTCCAGCGTTTCCCCCGAGGCCAGATAGCAGGGAGAGCGTCGGCAGGGGCGGGGTGGTCGTCATGGCCGACACTCCGGCACCAGCCTGCGTCCCCAAGTGCGAGATGAGGCCTCACCGTGGCGGTTCTGGTCTGGGCTTGGTCTCCTTGGTGCTGGCGTCCACTGTGGGTGGCAGCTCCTCGCTGCCTCCAGCCTGGCCGTCAGCTGGCGCCGCTCCTGCTTTTCCCACCCCTTTGGGGAGACCGACCGGTGACCGGGGCTCCGCAGGGGCTGGCTGTGGGCAGTGCCCGGATGGGTCAGCACCCTCGGCCGCCTCCTGGTGCTCTTCCCCGGTCTTGGCTTGGGGCCGGGCCTCCGCCGGGCCTGGAGCTGACCTGGTGTTCTGTGTTTCAGACTGAACAGGATCGCCAACCAGGTGGCCATCCAGCGGAAGAAGCAGTTCGTGGAGCGAGCGCACAGCTACTGGCTGCTGAAGAGGCTGTCACGCAACGGGGCTCCCCTGCTGCGGCGCCTGCAGTCCAGCCTGCAGTCCCAGCGGCACACGCAGCAGGTGGGTGGGCGGGCGCGGAGTGCCTGGAGGGAGGGGCAGATCCGAGCTGCTCTCCAGTCTAGCTTTGGGCCTGGTTTATAAGTGGTTCTGGAAGCTTGGGTTTGGTCCTGGTTTTATTTGATGCCCCCGAAGTGACTTGGAGGCCCACATGCTCCTGGCATGTCGCCTGCGCCTGCCCAGAGGGCGTCTGGGGTTTTGGCTCCACCTGTGCGCCTGTGGGGTGGTGTCAGACTGGATCTGAGGCCCTTTGGGCTGCCCGCACCGCCCCTGCGGCCTCCTGCAGAATGGCCATGGTCCCCTCCCTGGGTTGGGTCTGGCAGGGGCCCACACTCTGCCGGGTGGGCCACTCCCCACGCCAGTCAGGCTGCCCTCTCCCCGTTCGGCCTCTGGTCTCTCTGCCGCGGGACGCTGCGCACCTGCTGTGCCTGGCCTGGCCACGTAAGGGCTCGTCAGGGCCGGGTCAGCCCAGGAGGTGGCCCAGATGCCTTGCGCCTGCTGGCAGCGCTGAGGGCAGCACAGGGAATGGCTGGGTTGGGCCCTCAGTGCTCCCAGGGTGCAGGAGCAGGTCCTCACGGCTGTGGAAGGTCCACTGGGGCCACTGGCCTGGCCCCAAAGGGCTGCCGGGATGTCTTCTGAGGCATGGGCGAGGAGGTCTGGTTTCCTGAGCCCCCCTGCTGCCGCCTGTGCCGGGTCTAGGCTGGGAACAGCACCCCCAGCAGGCCGGCGTGGGCACACGTGACACTGCCCGGTGTCCAGAGGGTGTGGGCACACGCTGAGTGGCTGCCAGGGACCCGGGGCCAGGAGACCAGTGGACTTGGACTAGGGTCAGGCAGAGCCGAGGCAACATGGTTGCAAGCCTCCGGCGGGTCTGGCTGGGGGCAGAGGGTGTCCCACTGCCGCGTGGGTGCCAGCGGTGTCAGGGCAGGGCTGCAGGGCGGTGCTGGGCCTCTTGCAAAGTGTCTCGCTTCTCCCTCACGGCTCCCTGCTGCCCGCTCCCCATTGGCTCCAGCCGTCCCCAGCGCTTGGCTTCCCACGCAGCTTCGGCGCCAGTCTGCCCTTTGAAGCGGGGGCCCTGGGTGGGCCTTGCAGGTCGTGCCCGCAGCTGCGAGAGTGTAGCGGTGATCAGGGCTGCCCGCACTTGGGATCTCTGTCCCTGCCTGGGGTGCAGTAGTGCCCGCCCCTGGGGTTGGGACCTGGGGGCTTCCTGCCCTCTGGCCCCGTGAAGGCCTGGGCTCCTCCGGGTCTCGGTGCCTTCTGACGCCGCCCTCTGTCCTCAGCGGGAGAATGACGAGGAGATCCAGGCAGCCAAGGAGAAGCTGAAGTTCTGGCAGCGGCTGCGCCACGATCTGGAGCGCGCCCGCCTGCTGACTGAGCTGCTGCGCAAGCGCGAGAAGCTCAAGCGGGAGCAGGTGAGCGCCCCGCCCCCCAGCAGTGCAGGCCAGCCCCCCCACAGTGCGGCCACATGCAGCGAGTCGAGCGCCCAGGGCCCGGGTGGGAGTGGGTGGTGCGGGCACTGAGCTGACCCCTGCTGCCCACAGGTAAAGGTGGAGCAGCTGGCCCTGGAGCTGCGGCTGACCCCGCTCACAGCCCTGCTGCGCTCGGTGCTGGAGCAGCTGCAGGAGAAGGACCCTGCCCGCATCTTCGCCCAGCCCGTGAGCCTGAAGGAGGTGGGTGCCCCCACTTCCCTGGTGGGGGCGGAGGGTGGCTGCCCGCCGCCTGGGTGTGGAGGCTGGTCGCCAGGTCCCACGAGGGGGCCGGGTGGGGTTGCAGTCGCTGGAGCCCCGAGTGCTGGTGCTGTCAGCGGGGTGTGGGGACGAGGGTCTTTCCCCGTTGGTAAACGACTGTTTCTCTCCCCGTAACCAGGTGCCAGATTATCTGGATCACATCAAACGCCCCATGGACTTTGCCACGATGAGGAAGCGGCTGGAAGCCCAAGGGTATAAAAACCTCACTGAGTTTGAGGAGGATTTTGATCTCATTGTAGATAACTGCATGAAGTACAACGCCAAGGACACGGTGTTCTATAGGGCCGCGGTGAGGCTGCGCGACCAGGGCGGTGTCGTCCTGAGGCAGGCCCGGCGCCAGGCGGACAGCATTGGCTTCGAGGAGGCCACGGGGATGCACCTGCCTGAGCGGCCAGCCGCGGCCCCTCGGCGGCCTTTCTGCTGGGAGGACGGTAAGCACCGGACGGGGCGCCCGCACTCGCCTGCCTTGCCCGGGGCCGCGAGCACAGCAGCCTTGAGGCCGACCCAGATGGGCTCCCCTCATCTGGGTCCAACTTCAGTGCAGGCGGGAGGGGCTGGGCCGTTGGGCGGGGCCCAGCCTGCCGTAGGGTCGCTGGCGCGGGTCACTCCCTGGACGGTCTCCAGGCCAGTTGCGTAGCTGCTGTGAGCTGCTGTGCACGCTTCTGGGTTGCCGGCCGTGGGCCCAGGGTGGGGGAGCTTGGCTCTGACCTACCCTGGGGTGCCCAGCGAGGCGCTGCCAGCTGAGAGCCGGCCGCGGGCTTGCACCGCTGGTGCTGGCGCCTCAGCTTGTCGTCCTCAGCCTGTCCCGGCCGCACTCCCGAGAGCACCGCGCCTGGTCTCTCCCGGGGGGGTTAAGGGCGAGGGGCTCTAAATCTCATTGTCGGCGAGGCAGCTGCCGGCCAGCGATGGGGGTCGTGTGGCGGGGGCTCCTGCTGAGGGCACGTGGCAGGTGGTGGGGTGGGTGCCTGTCAGCTCGCAGCTCAGACTGCTCGGACTCGGTGCTTCCTTCTGCGCCCACTTAACGCCAGTTGTGTCAGGGTTGCCCCGAAACCCAGTTTCCGGCCGCCTCTCACTGAGGCCGCTCGGCCTGACCCATCCCTGCTCACTAGCTGGGGTTGAGGCAGTGGGGTTTCGGCGCCGCGTGTCCCTGACCTTCAGGGGGTGCTCCGGCCTTGTAGCCCAGTGGCAGTGAATCGCGGTGGCCTGGATCTGGGGTGTGATAGGTTAGTGGGCACCCGGCCCCCGTTAGAGCCAGCTGGGCGCAGCCCCATTAGTGCGAGCCTGTCAGCCCAGCTGCGGTGCTGGGTGGTGGAGCTGGCTCCTCTGTGGGGTGTCCTGGCCATACTGTCGCAAGGTCTGCTCGGGCCAGACACCTCGGCCACGTGTACTAGCCAGCCACGGCAGTTCATGCTCCCTCAGGAGCACCTGAGTCCCTGGCGGTCCGGAGGGTGGGTCGTGGGTCCCCCGGGGCTGCCGGCGTGGACCGGGATGGACCGGAGCTGGGATGAGGAACGCGGTTTCCCCGGGGGCGAGGCTGATGGGTGTCCTTTGCTTCAGTGGACAGGTTGCTGGACCCGGCCAACCGGGCACACATGGTGCTGCAGGAGCAGCTGAGAGAGCTGCTGGACAAGCTGGACCTCACTTGCGCCATGAAGTCCAGCGGCTCCCGGAGCAAACGTGCCAAGTTGCTGAAGAAAGAGATCGCGCTGTTGCGGAGCAAGCTGAGCCAGCAGCACAGCCAGCCCCCGCCGGCGGAATCAGGTACTGGAGGCTTCGAAGAGGAAGGCGCTCGGCCGGGGCAGGAGCCAGGGGAGGAAGGTAAGCACTGGGGGGCAGTGGGCAAGGCCAGGGCTCCAGGGGGTTCAGGGGCTCAGCCCAAGGGAAGGCGCAAGCCCCGGGGCTGCGTCTCGGCGTCCACAGCTGGGGTATGAGCTCGGCAGGTGACTCGGCTGCCTGAACAGCCGCTCAGGAGGGAGGCTAGGACCGGGGCCGCCTCCCGGACGGTTGAGTGGGGCTGCGCCGTCTTGGGGCGCTGGTCCTCACCGTATCTTCCCAGGGTGCTGGCCGTGCACCCGACTCAGCTGTGCTGGCCTCGCAGCGGGAGGTGTGCCTGGGCTGCCCACGAGCCCATTGAGGTGCGGCACCCGGCGGGTGCAAACCCCTGCTGCTCCGTGATGGTAGGGCCTGCTCCTTTCTGGGCACGGGATGGAGCTGGTAGGGAGGAGGGGACCTGCCAGCGCTGCGGTGGGGGCGCCATCAGGGCTGTTCCCCGAGTGGCCAGAGAGAGCAGAGACCTCCCAGGGCCATGGCCATCAGGGTCTGCTTCTCCAGGAGCTGCGGCCTGCTGCGTGCTCTGCGCGGGCGCCCCATCGAGCCCTCATGCCCCGCCCCTCTGGGCCAGCTTGGCGCTGCTCCAGCGGCTGCCGTACCCCCCCCCCCCCCCCCCCGCCCTTTAGAGCCTTGCTCCGCGCTCACGGCCGCGACGCCCTCGTCGTCTGTCGCCTGCTGCGTGTTCTGGCTCCTCCCTGGGGTCCCACAGTGGGAGACACCGGGTGCTTCCCACCAGCACCCCTTTTCCCGACCTCTGTGGCCCGTGTGGGGTTTGTCCTGGGAGCGCTGTGTCCGGGGCCCTGCTGTCCCGGGGCCCACGGGGCTGCCCTGCCAGCGGTCCGCTCCCTTCCCTTGGGGGACGCTGCTTTGAGGGTATGATTGGACCCGAAGAGGGTGACTTGGGGACAGGGCCTGCGAGCGAGTCACCGCCATCGGAGCCCGCCCGGAAGGCTTGCTGCCCCGGCCGCCCCTCCTCCCTACAGGCAGGCTCCTCGGCCCCCTTTATGCGCCACCGCACTCACTGAAGAGTGGGTGCCCAGGGCACCCGCTTCCGGGGCGGGGCGGGCTGGGGGCAGCCTGCTGGGTCCAGGGTGTGAGGGTCCAGGCAGGGCCGCTGGGCAGAGGCGCCCCACGTGGCGTGCATGCGGGCCCGGCTCTGGGCGTGCGCCCGGGGCAGAGGCGGCGTCTGCAGCAGGACCGTCAGCCCTGCGAGGGCGTCTGGTCCCCCGTGTGGCAGTTTGACACCAGGTGGCTCCCTCTGGGCGAGCTTGGGCAGGGAGTCGGGGCGCCATGGGTGTCCTGGGGGCCAGAGTCGAGGAGGTGTGAGGTGCGGCGGCCGGTCCTCTTCCCTGCAAGGTCCGAGCTGGGGCCAGAGTGGCCGCGGGCTGCCAGCGCTTGGGGCCGGCATCTGTGTTGCCAGGGAGGGTGGGCACATGTGCACCGGCAGGCGCCCCGGTGTCAGGGTCAGGAGCGGCGCTCTCGCTGGCCTGGGGCTACACCGCTCAGCCCGCGGGTATGCTCGGCAGTGGGCAAGAGCTGTGGAGTTGGCTGTCAGGCCTGGGCGTCGGCGGGCCGCAGCTGGGGGCCTGCTTTGTGCAAGGCCTCGCCGGAGCCCGTGGGGCACGGGACGGGGTGGCGCTCAGGCCTCCCCCGCTAAGCGGTGGTGTTGCTGAGTAGGCCTGTAAGACGCGGAGCTGGGTAGAGGCACCGCCCGGAGGGGGGCAGCAGGCAAGGCGTCCTGTGTGGTGTGCGTGGTGTGTGGGGGGTGGCGTGTATGGGGTGGGGTGTTGGGGGTATGTGGGGGTGTATGTGTGTGGTGTGGCGTGTGAGAGGTGGGCTGTGGGGGATGTGTGGGGTGTATGTGGGATGTGTGGGGGTATGTGGCAGGTGTGGGGGTATGTGTGTGGTGGGGCGTGTGGAGTGTGGTGTGTGGGCATGCATGTGTGCGGGGTGTGGTGTGTATGGAGTGTGGGTGGGGTGTGGTGTGTGGGTGTGGTGTGGGGGGTGTGTATGGGGTATGGTATGGGGTGGGGTGTGAGGGGGGTGTGGGGTGCGTATATTTGGGGGGAGTGTGGGGGGCGTGGGGAGGTGGGGTGTGTGTGGTATGTGGGGGTGTGGTATGTGAGGGGTGGGGTGGGGTGGGGTGGGGTGTGAGGGGTGGGGTGGGTGTATGGGGTATGTGGTGTGTGGGATGTTTGTGTGGTGTGTGTGGGGTGTGTGTGTATGTGTGGTGGGGGTGTGTGGGGTGTGGTGTGGGGGGTGTGTGTGGCATGTGGGGTATGTGTGTGGTGTGGGGGTGTGGTATGTGGGGAGTGTGTTGGGTGTGAGGTATAGTGTGGAGTGTGTGTGGTGTATGGTGTATGTGTGGGGTGGTGTGAGGTGTGTGTGGTGTGTGTGGTATGTATGTGTGGTGTGTGTTTGGGGTTTTGTGTGTGTGGGGTGTGTGGTGTGTGTGATGGGTGTGGCGTGTGTGGTGTTTGTGTGGTGTGCCTGTGGTGTGTGGGGTGGGTGTGTGTGGTGCGTGTGTGTGGTGTTTGTATGTATGGGGTGTGGGGGGTGGGGTGGGGTGTGCGGTGTGTGTGGCATGTGTGGTTTCTGTGGCGTGTGTGGTGTGTGTGTGGGGTGCGTATGTGTGGCGTGCGTGTGTGGGATATGTGTGTGTGGGGTGTGGTGTTTGTGGGGTGGGTATGTGGTGGGTGTGTGGTTGGTGTGGTGTGTATGTGGCGGGTGTGTGGTGTGGTGTTGTGTGGCATGTGGGGCATGTGGCGTGCCTGTGGTGTGTGGCGTGTGTGGTGCGGTGTGTGTGTGGTGTGTGGCATGTGTATGGGGTGGGGTGTATGTGTGGGATGTTTGGTGGGTGTGGTGGGTGTGGTGTGGGGGTGCGTGGGTGTGGTGTGCATGTGTGTGGGGTATGTGTGTGTGTGGTGTGTGTGATGTGTGGGGTATGTGTGGTGTCTGGTGGGTGTGGTGTGTGTATGTTGTGTGTGTGGGGTGGGGTGTGTAGTGTGTGATGTGGGGTGGCGTGTGTGGGGGTGTGTGTGGTGTGTGTAGTGTGTGCATAGTGTGTGGTGGGTGTGGTGTGTGTGGGGTGCGTGTGGTGTGTGTGTGGGGTGGGGTGTGTGGTGGATGTGTGTGGGGTGCGTGTGGTGTGTGTATGTGTGTGTGGTGTGGGGTAGTGTATGTGTGGTATGTGTGGTGTTTTTGGTGTGGTGTGTGTTGTGTCTGGGTATGGTGTGTGTGGTGTGTGTAGTGTGGTGTGTGTGATGGGTATGGTGTGTGTGGGGGGTGTGTGTGGTGTGCAGGGAGCTTGTGTGTGGCGGGTATGGTGTATGTGGTGTGTGTGGCGTGTGGTGCGTGTGTGGTGTGTGTGTGATGTGTGTGGTGTGGTGTGTGTGGTGTGTTTGGTGTGGGGGGTGCATGTGGGGGGTGTAGTGTGGGGGGTGTATGGGGGGTGTGTGTGTGGTGTGGGGAGTATGTGTGTGGTGTGGGGTGTGTGTGGTGTGGGTGTGTGGGGTCTGTGGGGTGGGGGGGTGTGGTGTGGGGGGTGTGGTGTGTGTGGGGTGTGGTGTGTGGGGGGTGTGTGGTGTGAATGGTGTGTGGGGGGTGGGTGTGTGGGGAGTGGGGGTGTGGTGTGGGGTGTGGTGCGTGGGGTGTGTGTTGTGGGGTGGGGTGTGTGGGGTGGGGTGAGGGGTGTGTGGTGCGTGGGGTGTGTGGGGTGGGGTGCGTGTGGGGTGTGTGGGGTGGGGTGCGTGTGGGGTGTGGGGGGGTGTGGGGCGTGGGGTGGTGTGTGGGTGTGGTGTGTGTGGGGTTTGTGTGGGGTGTGTGGTGTGGTGTGGGGTGTGGTATGTGGGGTGTGGTGTGTGTGGGGTTTGTGTGGTGTGTGTGTGGGGTGTGGTGTGTGTGTGTGGTGTGGTGTGTGTGATGTGTGGGGTGTGGTGTGGTGTGGTGTGGTGTGGTGTGGTGTGGTGTGTGGTGCGTGTGGTGTGGCGCGGCGGCGCGGCCGTGGGCGGGCGGGCGGCCGGGGCCTCCGTCTTGGGCCCGGGCGGGGCGGGGCGGGGCGGGCGTTGCAGGTAAGTGGAGCCGGGCCGGGCCGGGCCGGGCCGAGGCCGCCCGCGGAGGCGGCGCCCGCCGGGCCGCGCGGAGGGCGAGGGCGAGGGCGAGGGCGAGGGCGAGGCGGAGGACAGGACGGGCGTCACGAATCACTGTATCTATAATTCTTTCAGGCGCTAGGTCTCCCCCTAGCCTTGGGCCGCCGGACGCAGCGGCTCCGCCTCCACGCCCGGAGCCCCGCCCAGAGCCTCCAACCCCGAGCCCCGTAGAGCTCCGCCCCGGGCAGGGCGGGCCCAAGCGAGTCTCGTTCGCGCCCGCGCCCGCGCCCGCGCCGCGCGGCCGCCCTCCGGGCCCCGCCCTGGCCTGCGGCGCGGCGCCGGCGGCCCCCGCGGGGGCGGAGCCAGCGAGCGACGCGGCGAGCCGCGCCCCGGCGCCCGGCGGCCCGGCGAAACGTGTAAGCCCCCCCGCGCCTGCCACGACCTCCGCCGCCCGGCCCGCCCCCGGCGCGCCCGGGACCAAAACCTTTCTGTCTGTAGTCCTCCCGAGGTTGGACGCGCTCCTGCAGCCACGGAAGCGGTCGCGCAGCGCCTGCGGAGACCCCGCGGCGGAGGAGGGCTCCCCGGGGAAGCGCCTGGACACAGGTAACCGCGCGCCGCCAACGCCGCCGCCGCCGCCGCCGCGCGCCCGCCCCGCCCTGCGCGCCCGGCCCGCCCTGCGCGCCCCGCGGTCGGTCGCGGTCGCCGGGCCCGTCCCGGGCTCGCTCTCCGCGCGCGCCGCCTCGGCGCCCGCCCGCGCCGCGTCTGCGCTCGGGCTCGGGACGGTCGGCCGGAGCCGCGGGCGGCCGGTTTGCGTCCTGACCGCCTGGCGGGGCGCCCCGGGGCGGCCGCAGCCTGGAGCCGCCTCCGCGCGCAGCCCCGGGCCCGCAGCCGGCCGGGCGGGGGGCCGTCTCCTGCCGGTGGGGGGGGCTGGGGCGCCGGCCCGTGGAGGCCGGTGCTGGGCGCGCCGGGTCTTCGGCCCACCCGCCGGGTCCCTGGGGCGCCTCCGGAGCAGGTGGGGTTTGCCCCCTGGCTGGCGCGGCTTTCGGGGTGCGCCTCCCATGCCCCTAGTAGGACACCCTGCGCCCCTCCGGCCCCCTGTCGCGTCTGTGCCAACTTGTGGGGTCGCCGGCCCGCCCGCCCGCCTCGGAGGAGCGCGTGGGGCTCAGTGTTCGGGGCCGGCGGCGGCTGCAGGGCTGCGCGCGGGTCCCCTGTTGCCCCACGTGGCCGAGCCACGGCGGCCTCGCGCCTGCGGCCTGAGCCTTGGCATCGCCCCGCGGCGCCCGCGCTCTCGGCTTTGGGGTCCCTGGAGCCCGAGGCTTCCCGCCGCGAGCCGGCACCGGCATCCCCGTGCGGCGCGCGCCCCCCCAGGGCCGTCGGTGCGGCTCGTGGGGCCTCGCGCTGGCGTCGCGCGGGTGCGCGCGGGTGCGCGGGCGTGCAGGCCCGCGCCGGGTCCGGCCGGTGCGTCTTGGCCGGTGCAGGGGGGGCCGCCGCGCCCCGCCCCACTAAATGGCTTTTTCGCTGTTTTCCAGGTTCTCATTTTAACCACTAACATGCTGGGTAGCTCCCTCTTTGGACCCTAATTGTTTTCTTTGCTCAACCTGGACCGGAGCGCGGCCGGCGGCCGTTGGGAGAGCAGACGGCCCGGCCCGGCGTCTCGTGATCTCGCGGATGACGATGGACGCGCCTTAACATCCTCTAACAAACCCGCGCGCCGCGCCGGCCCTGACGCCCCACCGCCTCGCGCCGCCCGCCCGTGGACAGAGCCGCGCCCTCCGCGGGCACCGCGCGCTCCCGGGCCCCGTGGACGGCGCGGCCGGCCCGGCCTCGCGTCCCGCTTGGCTTCCCGGCCGCCCTCCGGTGGCCGCCCTCCCGCCGCCTCTCGAGCGGGGTGTCCGGGTCCTCCCGCGGCGCCGCGCCGGCCTCCGCCCCCGCCCCTCCGCGGCCGCCGGGGCGGTGCGCCTGGCCGGGCCCTTGCTGCGCGCGTGCTCGTTGGAAGTCTGAAAAACTGCAGCGAGAAATGCAACGTCGTTGCCAGCAGTAAAAATAAAAACGTCTGAAGAAAATAACTGCACCCCACCCCACCCCAACACAGCGCTCGCGGGGCGGCCCCTGCGTCCCCCCCCGCCCCGCTCGCTCCCGCTGGGGCTGCCGTCCAGGAGCCGCTTCCGGACTCGGCGTCGGGCCCGGCCCTCGGGAGCCCCCGGCTCCGCCTTGGCCCGGCGCTCAGGCCCCACAGCCGGTCCTCACGATTCGCCGTGGCCGCTGCCCACTGCTGTCCCCCACGGCCCCGGGCCCTGCCGCGGGCCGGCGTCGTGGGGAGCCGGCCCGGCCCCGCCCCGGCCCACCCGTGGGTCCGCTCCAGCCCGGCGGGGGGGCCTGGCTCTCCCGGCCCCGCCCCTTCCGGCCCCGCCCGTTGGCGGCCTCGCCCCTCCCGGCCCGCCGGCCCGCCCCGCCCCCGCCCCGATCTTTGGCATTTGCCGGGCGCCCTCGCGGCGCCCGTGTGGTGGCGCCGCCTGCGCCCTGGCTCTGCGGGCGGCCGGGCTGGCTTTGCGTCAGCCCCTCGGGCGCCTTTCCCCGTCGTGTCCGCCTCTCGCGGGCTCGGGCGTCCGCCTGCTCCGACGTCGTTGCGGGGAGCAGGTGCCGCCGTCCGGGTCCGGATGGAGGATGGCGGGGTGCCTGGGGTCGCCCGGGGCGCTGCCCGGAGCCGGGGTGGCCAGGGACCCCTGCTCGCTCCTGGCCTCCCTGGGGAGCGCCCGGGACGCCCGGCGGGAGGCGGAGGCGGCGGGAGCTGCCGAGCTCTCGTCCCTCAGCGCCGGCGCCTCCAAGGGCCCCTGCGCGCCACCCGGCAGGGGACGCCGCCGTCCCCGGGGGGCGTCGTGGGCTTCCGGCCTGTGGCTCCTGGGTCTCCTTGTTCTCCGGGCAGGTCTGCGTGCCGTGGCTGGGCCTGGGGGCTCCGCCGCCGGGCGTGTGAAGGGGCGTCTCCCGTGTGGCCGGGGTGGGAGGGCAGTGCCGACCCCAGCCGGCCCTGCACGCGCCTCGGCGGGCTCTCGGCCGGGCCTTGGGGCCTGGACTGGCCACGCGATGTTGGCCGCCTCATCCAGACCGCCGCCTGCCCCCGGCCCTGGACTGCGGCCCCCGCGCATCTGAGCCTGGCCTGCGGCGACATCCAGGCTTCCCCGGGGACGCCCAGCTCTGGGGTCCTGCCCGGCAGGGTGGACTTGCCCTGCTCGGAGTTGAGGGATCTCTGCTCCCGGGGCCTCCTCCCACTGCGCCTCACCTGTGGGGGGGCTGGTGCCGTGCTTGGGTGGGGCCGGCTGGTGCGCTGCAGCTGCTCTCCTGGGAGCCCGGGCTGCCCGGGCTCTGCGGCCTCTGCCAGCTGCCCTCACGGCCTGTCCACGCCCTCGTGGGAAGATCCCTCCTCGTCAGCGGCCAGGCTGGCGACCCACTCGAGCAGGCGTGGGGCCTGGGCTTTTAGAAATCGGTTTCTAAGCATGGGGGATGGGATTCTTTTTTGAAGAAAATATCCGCCTGCCCCCCGCTGTGGCCCGGGGGCGGTGGTCACCCCCACTCTGCCACCGGGGTAGGGTGGAGGTGCGCTGTGTGTCTGTGGACGGCAGGCCGGGCTGCGTGGCCGGGGTCCGCCACGACCAGGCTGGAGGTGTGTGGCAGGGTTGGCGTTCGGGGCACAGGGCCGCCTGCGGGCCCTGTGCTGGGCTCCGGCGTGCGGGCCGGTCGCTTGGGCCGGGCCTGTTGTGGGGCTCCACCCGCCACCGTAGGGGGTTTCGCAGGGTGTCTCGGGCTGCGAGTCCAGGAGCCGAGAACCTGAGCGTGTCTTGTCTCGGCGGCGCCAGCCTTCCTTTGGGCTCCGGGTCGTGTCTGCGCGGGAGGGGCCGGGGAGGCGGGCCCGACGGTACTGAGCTGGGGCCGCCACCTGTGTTGCAGGGCTCGCCAATGGCTTTGGGGGTGCACGAAGTGAGCAGGAGCTGGCCCCAGGGAGGAAGGCCGCTCCCCGCCGGCGCTGTGCCTCGGAGTCTAGCCTGTCCTCCAGCAGTGGCCCGCTCTGTGACTCAAGGTGGGTGCCCTGCCCCGGGGATGGGCCGCCCCGCGCCTTCTGCCGGTGGGCCGCACCCGCTGACCCTGCTCTGCTCTCCTCCGCAGTCTCGGTGCCCCCAAGTGTGGGCGGGGCAAGCCGGCGCTGGTGCGCAGGCACACGCTGGAGGACCGCAGCCAGCTGATCTCCTGCATCGAGAGCGGGGACTACGCCCGGGCGGCCAGGATCGCGGCAGGTGGGGCACGGTGGGCAGGCAGGTGGGTGCGGCGGGCGGGCGGGTGGGCTGCGTCCCTGGCTGTGTGCGGCCCTCGGCTCTAGGGAGCTGCAGGGGGCCCTCTCACACCTTCAGCGCCTCAAGGAGGCCAAGGGCCCCCGCGCAGGGTGGCTGGCGTGAGGGGTCAGGTCAGAGCGGGGAGGCGACTGAGCAGGGAGAGACAATGCCCTGTTGTGGGGAGGGTTGGGATGGGCAGGACCCCGCGGACTGGCGGGTGGCTCCTGCGGCCAGGTGTGTCGAGGGGCAGAGCAGGGGGAGCCGGCCCAAGGGGCGTCAGCTGCAGGGGCCTTCTCCTGGGAGGTTGGCTGGGGAGCTCAGGAGGGTGAGATGTGGGGGACCTGGAGGTGAGTGGACCTTGAGTTTGGGACGGGGGTGGGGGCACGACGTGCAGAAGCTCTGGGGCGAGGCAGCTGGTTTGGCCACCTGCCCTCTTAAGCCCCCTGAGCGGTTGTTGGGGACGATGTGGGCCCGGCGGATGTGCCTCGATGTGCAGCGCGGGGCTCCTCCTGGCTGCTCACTGCTTCCCTCTCCCCCTCCCCAGAAGTCGGTCAGAACAGCATGTGGATTTCAACTGATGCCGCGGCCTCCGTCCTGGAGCCCCTGAAAGTCGTGTGGGCCAAGTGCAGTGGCTACCCCTCGTACCCAGCCCTGGTGAGCGGGGTGTCTGCGGGAGCAGCCCCTGGGCCCCGAGCCCTTAGCCCTGGACCCTGTGTCTGCGCCTGGTGCTGGGTGTGCGGGGGTGCCCATGTGGAGCGTGCACGAGGGGCGGGTGTTAGCGGCTCCTCGAGACCCACCTATGGTTGGGCCGGGCTCCAGGGGTGCGGTGAGCGGGCGCTTGTGTGTGACCGGCCTCCTGCTCCTGTAGATCATCGACCCCAAGATGCCGCGAGTGCCTGGCCACCACAATGGAGTGACCATCCCCGCCCCGCCCCTGGATGTGCTGAAGATCGGCGAGCACATGCAGACCAAGGCGGACGAGAAGCTCTTTCTGGTGCTGTTCTTCGACAACAAACGGAGCTGGTGAGCCTGGCGCCTGCATTGGCCTGGCGCTGCTGGGTGGCTGCAGGAGAGGGGTGGCTGTGGCCCTTGGTCCTGGAGGCCTGGCCCTGCTGTGGTGCCTGGCCCTGAGGCCTGGGCCCGTTCCCTGGTGCCTTCCTCCCTGCTGTGGTCCACAAGGACTCGGCCCCAGGCCCCAACTGGCCCTGGCTGGCCCCAGCTGGCTGTCCATGGTCTCTGCATTGCAGCCGGGCCTGCTGCTCAGCAAGAGCACCACCTGCAGCTCCCAGAGCACGCCAGGGCTGCCCGGCTCCCTGCCCCGGCGCCCCCTGCTTCAGCCCTGCTCCTCCAGGAGCATGCTGGCACGGCCGCGTCCTGGCCAGGGCACCCCCTCCTGTGCGGCCGTGCCCCTCAGAAGGGTCGGTGGGACCTCTGTCCCCTGCCTGGCACCTCTCCAGGAAGCGGGGGCTGCGGGCTGCCGGGAGGTGGGGGGGGAGACAGTCCCTGGATAGGGCTGCTTTCTGGTCCCCACACCCAAGGGTGCTGGCCCGTGGCCAGGCAGATGCTGTGGGGGCGGCCCTGAGCGTCAGCGCTTACCGCCCCTCCCCCTCTTTAATAGGCAGTGGCTCCCGAAGTCCAAAATGGTCCCCCTCGGCGTGGACGAGACGATAGACAAGCTGAAGATGATGGAGGGGAGGAACTCCAGCATCCGCAAGGCCGTGAGGATCGCCTTCGACCGCGCCATGAACCACCTGAGCCGCGTGCACGGGGAGCCGGCCAGCGACCTGAGCGACATCGACTGACGGCCGCGCGGGCGGGCTGTACATGCTGTATATCGCCAGACCTAACTTATTCCGGCTCGGCCTGGTCTCCCGTGTCCGTTTCGGGACGGGGGAGGTTTTATCTCCGTGTTTTCTACGAAGCCATCCCTGCCCCGCGGCCCGCGCCGCCCCCGCCGTGGTCTGTAGCTTTTTTTTTTAAAGACTTTTGAATGTTTAATAATTTTGTAAATCATCCTCTTTACACAGAGTACCTCTTATTTAATAAGATGGGGTGTACATTTACAACGACAAATGTGTATTTTAAGAAAGAAAATGACATTATTTTGAATGGTACTTTGTGGAAAGAGGCGGAGAGGAGACGCGATCTCTGCGGTCACCTGCGAGTCACCAAAAACACTCCCGCGGGCGGGCCCGGCCCGGCCCCGCCCCCGGCCCCGCCTCCGACCACGCCCCCGGCCCGGCCCCGCCTCCGACCCTGGCCCGGCCCCGCCTCCGACCACGCCCCCGCCCCGCCCCCGGCCCCGGCCCCGGCCCCGGCGCGCCCGCCCGCCCGCGGGCCGCCCCCCGGCGGATTATTTATTGTAGAAAGTGTACTCTTTGCTTTATAATGAAAATAAATTTGCAGAGGTATATTGATACGCATTTTATACAGGCGCCCGCCGGCTGCGGGCCGCCGTCCCCCGGGCCCGCCCGCCGCCCTCCGCAGCGGTGGCCGGCGCGCCGTCCGGCCCGGTGCTGGGGGGCGCCCCGTGGAGGGGGGGGCGTCATGGGGGCGCCCCGTCGGGGGGCGCGGCCGCTTTTTATATTGAAAATAAAGTCGAGATGCGCACGTGTGGCCGTTCTGTCCGTCGTCGCGCCGCGGCCCGCGGGTGGTTCATCACCGCACCCGCTGGCCTTACCTCGGGGTTTCTGGGCGTTTCCAGTCGTTTGTAACGTCCCCAGGAAACGCGCGAATAAAGCGTCTCCCTCCTGCCTCGGCAGTGTCTGCCGCGCCCCCCCACCCCCCTGCCTCCCGCGGCCCCGCCCCCGGCCCCGGCCCCGGGCTCCCGCCCGCGCGGCCCCTGCAGGCTCCGAGGGGGCGGTCCTCGGGCCAGCCGCCCGCCCGCGCAGCCTCGGGGCCCGACCGCCCCGACGGCGCTTCTCCCGCGGCCTTGGGGGCCCCCACCCTGGCCGCTGCCCTCCGCCGGGGCACCTCGGCTGCGCCCGGCCTGGCCGCGTGTCCGGGCCGGACCCCGCCTGCCCGCGCCCCGCGGTCCCGGGGTGCGCCCTCGGCCAGGGCGGTGCCTGGGAGGGCCGGGCCGGGCGGGCAGCGCCCCGGGGGGCCGTGGGGGTGGCCCCCGGCGCCCTGAGCTGGAGGGGCGCCGGCCCCCACCCCTCCCGGCGGCGGCGGCGGCCCGAGCCCGCCGGGTGGAGACGCCGGCCGGCCGCGGGGCTCGGGAGCGGGCGGGCGGCACTGCCCGGGGGGGGGGGGGGGCGCCCCGCCCCGCACCCCGCTCGCCGCCGTCGGCTCTGCCGTGAGCCGCGGCCCCCGCCCGCCTTCCCCCGGCCCCCAGGGCCCGGCGCGCCTCCCCGGGCGCGGGTGGACGCGCGCCCCGTCGCCGCGGGTCGTTCTCGCGGCCCGGCCACGCGGGGCCCGGGCGTCCGGGGTCAACAGGCCGGGCGCCCCGCTGGCCGCGCCCCCGCTCCGCTCCCCACAGCCGCTGCGCCGGGGCGCGGGGACCCGGGACGGGGGTGGGGGGGTGGTGGGGGGGGCGCGCAGGGAAGGCCCCGAGCCCGGCGGAGAGCGCCGCCCGCGAGGGCGCCCCTGGCCGTCTCCGAGCGCGGGAGCAAAGCCGGGCGCCCGTGGGGAGGGCGCCCCGGGCCGGCCCGCCCGCGCCCCGCCCCCCAGCGCGGACGCCCGGGTCGCCCAGGCGCGCCTCTCGGCGTTCGTGGCATGAGCCGGAACCGGAACCGCAGGCCCGGGCAGGAGGCGGCCCTTCTGCGGTCCCGGCCGCGCTCCACGGGAGGCTCCACACTGGCCAGGCTCTGGGGCCCGGGTGGCGGCCGCAGGGGACCCCGCCGGGCCTGCCGTCAGGGAGCAGCGCCCTTCGTGGGGGGGCCAGGTGGGCGGGAGGGTCCCCCTTCCATCGCCACCAGGAGGGCCGCGTGGGGGTCTGGACGGTCCCCTCACACAGGACAGCATCCTCCCCAGCCCCCACTGCACTGGAGTGGGGGTGCTGATGGTCTGGCTGCCTGGTTCTGGGGAGCTGGGGTGTTTGTCCTGCGCTTCTGTGGCGGGTCCCCTTCTCAGGCCGGGAGCAGCTGCCTCTGAGGGTCTGGTCCGGGTCTGTTCTGGGCGGGCAGCGGAGTCCTGCTCCTGCAGGTGGGCCCTGGCAGGCAGCGGCGGGGAGGGACCCCCCTCTGGAGGGCTTCCTCCTGCCTGGTCCCACCAGGGCCTGCCCAGCCAGCCGGGGAGCAAACGACCCCCCAGGGCCAGCGGCGAAAGGGCTGCGCTTTCAGGAGCTCCTCCCCAGCCCCAGGGGCCACTTGGCCCACCCCACCGCCCGCAGGGGCCTCCCAGAGCACCGTGCCCGGCTGGCGCAGCAGCTTGGGGGGCTCCCGCCCCAGCCTGCACTGCTCAGCCTGGCAGACCTTGCACCCCCATGGTGGCTGACCTCCAGCCACCTTCCCCTCCTGCTCCCAGACCCCTGAGGTTGCCCGGCAGCCTGGGCAGCGGCCGCAGGAGCGTGAGGCCCGTGGGCGCCTCCTGACCGGCCGGAATGTTCTGGCTCCTGAGAAGCGTTTCCTCCCCCCAGGAGCTGCGGGGCCCCTGCCACCCCACCGGCTTCCGAAAACAGGGCGAAACTGCTCAGGGTCTAAGTAAAGGGATTTTCTTTCCTCTTGAGGATGCTCTGGCCGCCATGCGCGGGCAGCGCCTCTTACTGGCGCAGACACACGCGGCAAACGCACCTTTGGAGACTCCAGAGCCGCGGGCTCGGGCCGGGAGGGCGGCGGGGCTCCTGCGGGCCGGGCTGTGCAGACCCTGCCCTCGCCGACGCCCTGCAGGCCGGCCGCGGCTGCTGCCCGGTGCCGCTGGCAGGCTGGACGGAGGGCAGGAGACCCTGCCCAGTGCGGGCAGCCGTCCCGCTGGGCGCCTGGCTGGGCCGGGGAATCGGAGGCGGCCTGGGGGCTTGGGGGGCTGGGAGCGCGGTGGCTCACCCGGTGGTGGCTCCCACAGCCCCTTCGGCCCTTTCCCTGGGGTCTCCCTGGCCCAGGCCCAGGCCTGTGACCGCCGCTGGCTGGGGCGCCTCCGGGGAAGGCCCAGGCTGGTGGTGGCGGGGGGCCCTGCCCCCAGGACAGCGTCTCGGGGCGTCGGAGGCGCAGGGCCTCCAGTCCCCAGGCTTCCCCGCGGGTCGGGGCGCCTGCCTGCAGGTGCGCGCCGCCCCCCACCTGGGGCCCCAGCCTCCACCCAGCCGCGCTGTCCCGGCCTGGCCACCAGGGGGCAGGAGCGCACCTTCCCGGCCGCCGCCTGCCCAGCCCTGGGACTCTGTGTAGCCAGAGTTTGGGCAAAAAGCATGAAATAGAAGAAAAGTTCAAATAATAATTCGGGCAGAGTCTTGCCCTTGGACTTCGAAATGGTGCCAATGACTAATTCACGGCTGCTGTGAGCTCTGGGTGCGGGACTCTGGGCTGGGGGTGCAGGGGCTGAGTGAGACCCCACCCTCAGGCTGGGGTGCTCCTGTGCTGGTTTCTGATCTGGGGTCCCCAGGTGGGCAGGGAGCCGTGGGCTCAGGAGAGCCCGGGCTGGGCCAGGCACAGGCCAGCTCCTGGGAGGGGAGGCAGCGTCGGCTGAGACCCCTGGGAGACACTGGGGGGCAGGAGCCCCCTCCTGTAGGGAGCCCATCGGGGTGTGGGGCCTGGAGGGTGTTGGCTCCATGTCTGGGGACCTCAAAGGGGTGCTGAGGAGGCTGCTGGCAGCTGGGGGGCCACTCACCACAGCTTCTGGGAAGCCCCTCCCTTTGTCAGAGCTTGGGGAGGTATGAGGGGAGGGGGTACTGTGGCCCCAGGGCGTGTCCCCTCCCCCGTTGCCCCACGGCACCCCCAGCCTGGGCCTTGGCTCTCAAACCGTGTAGTTCCCAGGGTCCCTGAAATGGGGGGGACAGGAGGGGCTGCGCGGAAGGGGTTCATGGGGGGCCCTTGGCTGGATCAGGGGCAGCCAGGCTGGGGTGCGGCCTGGATGGTGGAGCGGGTGGACCCCTCTGGAGGGGACGGATGGCGGTGCCCCGGCTGCGGGGGGAGGGGCAGGGTGGGTGGGGTGGGGTGGGGGGCTGTGGGGGGTCTGGAGCATTGCTCCCCAGGGCGCAGTGGCAACAGAGCCCCGAGCAACCAAGAGAAGACGCGCTGGGGACTCAGGGGACCTTGAGGCCGTTCTCTTTGTCCTTGGAAGCAGAGGCCCGAGTGGCCACATCTTCTGTGCGCTTCGGGTGGGACTTGGGGAGAGCCCGGAGCCGGCCTGGAAGCGGGGGGCGGCGAGCGTGCGGTGGGCTGGAGGGATGCACCAGCTCCTGTGCCGGCCGGGGACAGCCGCATCCCGCGTCCCCACCCGGCTTCCTGCCGCCCTGCCGGGCTCCGGGGCTCCGGGGCTGTCGCCGCGTCGGGTGCGTTGATGAGCCGGCGCTCCGGGCAGTGGGGCGGCCCGGGCCCACCACCGCGCCCGGCTCGCCAAGTGAACAGGCGGCCAGGGGAGCCGGTCCGGGTACCTGGGTGTGCCGGGGAGCAGGGAGGCGGCGGAGCAGGAGGGGCGGTGTGGGGGACCCAGAGTCCCCGGGCGCCCCCCGAGTGGAAGGGAGAACCTTTGTCAGAGGGCGGCTGGACGGACCCGCCAGCGGGTCCTCCGGGGACAAGGAGCCCACGGCTGGTCCTCGTGCAGCGTTGGGGCCTGGCCGTGGGGACAGGCGGGGAGGCCGGGGGGCGCCGGCGGGCTCTGCGCGCCCCCTCCGCTTGGCTGTTCCCAGGCGAGCGCGTGGCTCTCCCGGGCCGGGCCAGGCAGCGGGACGGAGTGCGTGTCCTAAGGCGCTTTCCCCCTGACCCGCCCGCCCACCCGCAGAACACCCAGTGGGGGGCTTCAGCGGCCCCCCAGAGTGGCGGCGGAGAAATTGGTCAACACGCAGCTTCGTTGCAGCAAACAGAGCTTCGCTCGAAGCAGCCTTTGCCGCCGAAGCTGCCGCTGGTGCCGGCTCTGACGCCGCCCGGGACCTGCCCTCGCCTGGCCGGCGCCTCCTCTCTCTCGGGGCTGCCGGGGCAGGCGGGCGGGCGGGGCACGGGCCCTCGGCCTGTGGGCTTTCGTCTGCCCGGCCCCCGGGTGCAGCCAGGGGGGCGCCCGGAGCCGCCTCCTGCCGCGGAACCCACCCCGCCGGTCCTTTTCTCCAGAGATCCGCTCGTGGGCC